AAAATCTTTAAATCTAATTATCTAATTATAAATATGCTTAAATCATTTTCGATGTCCAAAAAAATATTTTTACAAACATAAATAGAGATTAAATATGTTTAGTAAAAGTTGTATGTAAATGTCACTTAAAAGTGTAATTTTTAAATTATTTTAAAATTTGTGAAATATTTAATCCGTTTATAACTAAATAAACGACATATTTGTTTTTATAATTTGTTAGCTTTTAAAAAATTATTGTCATTCAATGTCAGGTATTTTTGTAAACAAACTTAGGTTTTTATTTTTTTTATCAATTTAATAAATTGTTTTAAAAAAATATTTTAAGCTTCTATAAAACTAGTTATTCTATAAAATATAATTTAAATCACATTTTTTAAAAATGATAGTTTTTTTGTTAAATTTGTAATATATATATAAATTATTTATTTATTTATTTATTATCTTATCATCAAATTCTCAAAGAATGTCTTCTAAATTCATTTTGTATTTCTGTCTCTTTTTCGGAATTTCTAAATTTCGACTTAAAATTAAAGATTAATAATTAAATTAGAAATGTTTGAAAAATATATTTTCTATCTTTTAAAACACCGAAAATATTTACAAAATTGGTATTCAGGGCATAAATTTATGATTACTATATTTAATATATAATTTTATTATAATATATTAATATATCTACTAATATGTCCATTGGATGACTTTGATTACTGACTCTCTTTGAATTATTTGATCACTCTATGAACCCCTAAAGTTAGTTAACCCCCTATGACTTATTGACAGCCATTAAGTTATCGTTTGACTATTTGACACAAATTGGTAATACAAATATATATCTAAATAAAGTGTCGGAATTTTTCTAGTAATTTTAGTTTAGAATTCTAAAATTTAATCATATATTATATAGACTTTATATTATAGTTTTAATTATAAAAATGTTAACATCATATTATAGTGTATCTGTATTTCTATATTATATTTTGGTAAATGTTTACAATAAAAACTGTTTAATATATGCTAAATAAAATATATTTAAAACATTTGTTGAATTTTCAGAGAAAATGGTTTTTAGAAATCAATATATAGTCAGTTGAGAATGCTAGTTAGTTAGTTAGTTAGTAGTCCTGGCCGTAGCACAACACCTAACCACATGACAGGTCAGCATTATATTGTATATAAGCAACCGATGATAGGGTCACAGGATTGACAAACATAGAAATCATTTCCAGACGAACTGATCCAAATTAAATATTAAATTAAATCATAAAAGATATTATCTCAGTATTGACAAAATAAACTCAACTTTAGTCATGTATGGTATCAAATAAATCAATAAAATTATGATTCTTAACCCAAATTTTAACTTAAAGTAAAAAATCATTTTCTCTATGTTCCTGAAGAGATAAAATTTTTATGTAACCCTCTATATCTTACTTTTGAAGTTTTATTCTAATCTAAACTCAAAAATTTTTAAATCAATATTTTTGTACTTTGACTGCCATTTTCTTTATGTTCGTAAAGAGATATCAAAATTTTAATACTAATCCCTAATACCTTATACTTTATTCAAATCTGAACTCAAAATTTTAAATTTAAAAAAATCGGACGAAAGGACATAAAGAATTCAGAGAACATATTTCTTTAGGTATTTGTGAAAACTTATCATTTTATTTGATTATGAATTTTTGATACAATAGTTGTAATCGTGAGGACAGTCATATGAAATGCATGACCAATGCTCTCATTGCTCTCAATAACGATTAGTCAAAGATTTTACCTATAAATAGGTCAACAGGTATTTGAAGGATAATAAATGTAGCGAATGTGCAATATATCTAATATGACATAAGTATTAATTATAATAATTGTTAATTAAATTATTTGTTATATTATTTAAAATTTAAAGTTTTTTTTCAAAAATAAAATATTTATATATTTACATGTCTTTTAATATAAATATTTTATGACAATATGTAGATTATACTTATTTGTCTTTATTTATTATGTATATACTGTATTGTAAATTTAATTTGATACCATTGTTATAAATATTTATTAAATTATTAATCTAACATAAATTTAAATAAATTAAAAATAGATATTTGTAATATTCATATTTATTAATTAAGTAATTAAAACTTCCTATTAATAAGATATTTTTATAACAATAATAATAGTTTAATTTGTTTTCTAAACATGCGAAAAATTATATATATAATATATTTTGATTTAATATTAAATTAAAATTAATTATTGTAGTAAAGTTTATTTATGGTTATACAAAATATTAATTAAATCAATTGTGTAAACAATTTAGATAAATAAATGTTTAAATATCCAAAATATTAATATTTATTTTTCTAAATACTAAATAGTTTCTTAGTATTGGATAATTTTATTTTATTAAAATGTTTCTATGATTTAATTGAACATTTTAATAAATAACATAACATTATATAATATATTAATTTTTAAGCAAATCTAATATCAGATTATTGCAAAATCAAAGGAATTAATTTTAAAAATATTGTGTTTGTATAATATTATATTATATTCTAGTTTTTGTTTAATAAAATTATGGAAATTATTAGTTAAAATAAATAAAAGTTTTTTTTCTAAATAAAATTTTTAATAATCATTATTATATAAGGAAGTAAAATTATTGCAGTATGTTTTTGCTTTTTTATAAAAATATTTTTAACTATTTAACGGTAAATATTTACAGTATTTTGTAATGATAAAAAATCAAATTGCAAATTAAACTTACAATTATATAAATGCATAAAATTTAAACGTTATGTAAACACTAGAAATATATATTGTATCGATATTATTATGTATAATTGTGTAAATACTTTTTAAAATATAATGTATATTATTTAATACAATTTACATTATATACTGTACTTTCAGCATATCATACAACTATACATATTTACTTAGTTATAAGAAAATAACTAAATAGCATATATTATAATACTGTACTGTATTTACATAATTTTATTTTTTAAAATAAACTTTTATTCAAATCAAATTACATTACTTAGTATATAATAAACTACCTAACAATATATAATAAATTTAATTTTTATATCATTTTTTAATGTTTTATGTACATTAATATTACAAAATATATGCTGCAATTTTACACATATATTACAGTAATATCAGGATTAAACAAGATTTTGGATTTTAGGGGGTAAAAAATATAGAAAAAAAACTAGGAATTATAGGGTTATTTTTTATTGCATTTTTAAAAGGCAATATTTTAATTTAAAAATCCTTTGAAAGGGTCAAGATAAAATTCCCTAAAAAAATTAATTCACGAATATTCTTATGTAAATGGAAGGAAATTCCCAGGAATATCTTGTATTTTTTTATTAATTATTAAAAACTATTAAATCAAAATTTTAAAAAATAAAATTTAAAAATATTCATATTCATAGTTTAATTTATTATTATTATTTTAATTATCTATAAATGTTAATCTTAAATCTATTAATAATCTTAAAATGTTTTTTACTTATAACATAATTGTTTTATTAAACAAATAGATCATGTTTTAGTTTTTTAGTTACATATTTTTTAATCAAATAATTGTTCATTTAGAGAAATTTTAACGCAATCTAATTATTTTCCTTATTCCAGTTAATATATTAATTTTAATTATTTCTTAAGTTTAACAATAATTTTATTTTTACTAAAATTTTTAAAATAGATAATAATTATGCATAACAGGTAAAATATTAACGTAAAAATAAATAATAAAAAGATTAAAATATGTAATATTTTTATTATTATTATATTAATTATTTTTAAATAATATTTTACTTTTAATATAAATATTATTTTAAATAGTTAATTTTTATATTTTTAATAATATTATGTAATATTTAGGTAAATTTTAACGTAATATTAACTATTTTACATATTTTTACTTAATAATTTAATTTATATGTTGTTAAAACACAACACTTAATTCGTTATTACTTCACATATTAATTAAAATTATAACTTTATTAAAAACTTAATAATCAATTAATGATTAATTTCTATTCGTTTTAAGCGATAATATTTTGGTCAAAAATAATGGGGAAAATTCAAAAATTTTGATCTTAGGGTTGAGTAAAGTGGACATACAATCCCATACCTTCTTGTTTAACACTGATTAATATATATCTATAAATAAAATTAGTTTTAGAAATTAAGTTTGAATAAATAGCAATTAAAATAAAAGTTAAAATTTTATTTTAATTTTATTAATATTGATTATTATTAAGTAAATTGCTTTAAATTGGTGTTTTTAGAAAAATAAGTATTATATATTACATAAAGTAAAAAATGATTTTTTAAAATTAAATGTCTATTCATTATTATTATTATTATTACATTTATTACTTAATAATAATAAATATGATTTAAAAATACTTTAGTTTTCTATTGTTATATTATTTTATATAAAATAAAATATTGTAAAAAACATAATAAAATAAAATCAGAGTTTCTTAGCATCTTATTCTCCATTTGGCTGATAAACATTGAAAGCAATAGAACTGATATAATATTTTTTTGTTGATTTCATGTAATACACGAATAATAAGTTATTAATAATTAATTTATCAAAATTATCAACAAGTTTTGTATTTTAAGTCTATAGATCTCAGATACAGTATAAATAAGAAAATACAGATATTATGATTGTTATCGATTGTATTTTCATAAAATGTTTGTTTTAAAAATATCTCTTTTTATTAAAAATTCAAATCTTAAGAATTTGAATTTCAAATAAATTTACATTTATTTTCTTTGAAAAATTTGGTTTTTACTGACATTTAAAATGATACAGAAATTATTATTAGAATAGATTTTTGTTATCAAAAATAGTTTTTTAAACCAAATAATAGAAAAATAAAATTTATAAAACAAATGTTTACATTAAGATCAATAATTTTTAATAATTGTATTTTTTTAAAGTTAACAAAAAATATATATATTGTTTACAGATCTGAGACAAATGAGAGCTCGAGTTCATCTTCGAGACTGAGTTTTCCTGTCGGACAACACGTCTTCCAAGAGAATACCTATAAGAAGATCACGGCTTGTGATGTCTGTCGTGAGATATTAAGAGGTAAAGACTCTCGAGATTACGTTTATTGCTATAAATTATGGCAACTAATAAAAGTTGCTTTTATTTTAATTAAAAAACAGGACATTCACGACAAGGACTCAAATGTAAATTATGTAAAATGAATGTCCATTCGGGTCAGTGTCAGGAAAATGCACCCAAATGTCAGGTATTTGCTATAATTAAAATAAATGTCTAAAAATATAGCATAAGATCGCAAACATTGATTTTATTGTATACTTTAGCCAAAACCCCGTTTACTTCGTAAACAAAAGTCTGCCTCAGAATTGGAAGTAAAGCAAACCATTGGTGACATTGAAGACAAGGGTATGTCTTATAATTAATTCAATTTATTGCTTTACATTATAATTGGATACAAACCTTAATTAATTAATTTACATAAAATAAGTTACACTTTGTCGTTGAATAGTTTTGTCCTAAAAATAAAATAACATTAGTTTTATTACAAAAAATTGTATTTGTTTAACAAAATCATTGTTTAATGATTTATTTATACAATAATATATAATTAAAAAAATAATTTACAAACTAATTATTCATATTATTTATTTAATTTAAATACTTATTTTGAATTGATATTAATTTATACAAATTAATTATATAATATAAACGTAGTATATATTAATTTTTTGTGATTTATATTATTTATTATTTTATGTTTTACTTTATTTAGCGTGTTATAAATATAAATAATTTATAAATACTGTATGTGATACTGCATTACTGATAAAAACTAAAATTGCATATGACATGTAAATAATTTCATATAATTATATGAAATATATAGTTAATTTATAAATAATAAATAATTAAAAATACTTTTATTTTAATGAAATTTTATATTATAGTTTTAAAAAATTGTTTAAGTTAATTTATGTAAATGATAAAACTGACTTCTAATTGCATATTATTTATTTTATAACAGTTTATGTTTTCTATGAAAGATTGCAATTATATTTTAATATATATAACAGTTTCTATAAAAAAGATTTTCAAAAGTGAATTATAGTTTAACGTATATATAAATTCTAACATTATATCTTTATTATGATGTTTTTATACAGTATATAGTAAATGATAAAATGTTTGAGTACTCATAGGAAGACACGACTTTAGTAAATAACAAAGAAAGTCCAACTTTTACGTCGATATCTTAAATTTAAGTTTAAGTTTTGAATATTTTTGAACATAATATCCGAAAAACATTATAATATATGAAATGTTTAATCATTAAATGCATTGCTATTTATAATAAAAGATAAGAGTTTTTGAGAATCAAATATTGCATTATATAAATATTATAATAAATTCAAAATGCCTGTTGATTTTATGCCTGTATTATATTATTATTATTATTGATTTACATTATATTCAAACTATTAAAACAATAATTTAATTTATTTGATAATATATTATTCATAATAAATAAAATAAACTGACACTATAATTGATTGGTTGAATGAAAATTATTTTAGCAATCTTTTTATATTATGACAACTGAGTAATAATATATAATTTATTTGTTTATAAATAACATTATATACAATTATTATTGTATTACATGTATTAATATAATAATGTCTTATGTATTATATAATGGGAGATATGTTTAAAATATACTTTAAGTTGATTGACGTAAAATATTGTATAGGATTTTAATTGACTATTTAAAAATATAATCTTCTAATATTATGATATTGTAATTATGATAATAGCATAAACTATAATATTGAATATAAGAAAATACAACTATTTAATGAATACTATTCATTATAAAATAAAATCTTTTTATTTTTAAGAATTAATAAAAAACACACCAATAGATCATAATTTGACAAATTTATAACAAATCTTTTATGACTTGATTTATGTTTTATTAGCAAAACATTTTACATTTTATTTAATAATTTGAATTATATGCTTATTTATTGAGCAATAGTTAAAATAAGTACTTTTATCTAATCATTAATGGAATATAACATATTTTATATAAAAGATGTTATTATATAAATGTATATATTGTAATAAAATATATATTAATATAATTATAATGAATATCATATATTGCATGTATGAATGGCATAAGTTAAATGTTTGCATATGACTAATGACTTGTAATACTGTAACAGTATGTTGTTTGAGAGGAATATTCTGTTATTTTTTTGAAACATAATGTTTTCAAATAAAATTTATATATAATTGTAATCAACGTTCAAAACTAAAGTAATATCAAAATTATTTTCATTGCAGTATTTGACAGACTTTAATAGAATTTGTGTGTAAATTGTTTTTTCGGTCGATTTTTCTTTAGATTAATGGATACTTAAGTTTTGTATCATTAGTACAGCTTTTGTGTGGTAATAATAGTGGAGTACAACTATACATATAGTATAACACATACAATACAATACCTACATATACAGGCATGTATAAAGGCAATTGTAATGAATATAAACCTTTTTATTGCTATACATCCCAAATCTTATATTGGTATAAATTTTCAAACAAATCATTAAATAGAAATAGAAATAGTATTATAATATATAAATCAAAAATTTTATTCGTTTTTATTGATTATAATAATATTATAATATATAAATCAAAAATTTTATTCGTTTTTATTGATTATAATAATATTATAATATTATTAACAATAATAATACATGTTTTAACAACAACTATACACGCTATCCATTAATCGGTGTCCAAAAGTACATCTCTTATGAATTGCAGCGATAGTATAGTATTAATATATAACTCTTGTATGTGTAGGTCACTAATGTCACAAATTTTTCAATTATTATACACAAAGCGTAACATTATATTAAATATACTGTACTATGTGTTAGGTTTAGAAAAATAACAGTTTTATGAATATTAAGTATTTATATTCAGAACATCAAGTATTGTATAATAAATAGGAATGCAATGAAATTTTCTTTCAAAAATGTGGACACAGTTTATACTATATATTTCAAAGCTTTCACAGCAATTAAAGTTATGGGTTATATGTTTTACTTAAGTTTTTCATAATCTATGAAATATATAGTTACCTTGACAAATTTATTCTTATTACATTAAAAGTTTTATTGTATGTTTAGTTTACTATTACACTTTTTAATTTAAATATAAGGTTACTATTAACTAAAAAATTACTAAAACTAATTAAAATTATTAGAAATAAATTTGTCAATTAAACTAAACTTTTGCATAGCAAATGAATTCAGTAGAATTGACAGACAATCTATTATTTTTTAGAGATCTAATCAACAGATTTTAGATATTAATTTTTGTATTATTGATTCACAAAACAGATATTCATTGACTCCGTATGTAAAATAACAAAATGTTATAATTTTATAGTATATAATATTCATATAGAAATCTATATTTTTTGTCTATATATCTATATATCTAAATTAATATTATTCTAAATTTATGACTATGACTATGATTTATATCGAAAAAACCGTGTCAAACACTTTTTGATATAAATATTATATATTAAGTTAAGAGCATATTTAGAGCTAAAACAATATTTTGTGATTCATTTGTTATTCAACCAAACAATAATATTTTCTAAACGTGTTTGTTGTATAATAGACTATATTTTTAATTAACTTTAACTAATGAAAAATTTTAAATATATTTTACAAAAGTTACAATGTATGTATGATAATATAACAATAAATGACAATATTGGATTACAGTAATTTATAAATTATAATATAATATATAATATATTAAATATATCACATATAAATTATATAGACTAAACTATAAAGTACAGCATATGGTCATTATATTATAAGTTATAACTATACTTATGCATTTTCGGGAGCTTAAATGGCCAAAATCGGTCGGGAAATCGGGAGTAAAAAATCACAAAATCGGGAGATTAATCGGGAAATAAATTTTATTTTTTTTGCATTATAATTAGCATATATAGTTTAGTTGTCACAAAATTGGTTATATTTAATAATAAAATGATATTTAAGATTATCTTTAGTAAACTTATGTCTTCTATCAGTGAGAATATTCTTATATTCAGAAAAAGAGCGCTCGATGTCCACTGATTTTAACGGTGCATATCTTGTCAAACATTTTGTCTCAAAGTCTTGTGAATCACAAAAGTCTTCCAAATCTTTATTCTTTGCCAAACACATCAATAGTTTTTCTTTAGCAAAACCAGACAATTGCTGTACAGTATTATCAATAATACTTTTTTGATCATTTATTGGTATATTTGAAGACATCAGTTGTTTTGTGGATTCAATTAATATTTTGTAATTTTCAGAATCAAATAATTGATTCTTAAATTTTATATCATTTATTAATAATTTAAGTTTTTTTATTGACTGATTGTTAGTTTCCTGTTTCAAACTATTGACAAACATTTCAATTTTAACAAAATTTGTGCGATAAAACATAACAGTTTCTAACCAAGTTTTCCATCGGGTAATGACAGGAATAGGAGGTAACGGGAGAGCAGTCGTCTCTCTATAAAGTAGTTCTTTTGATTTCGAAGTTAATAAACATTTTTTCATTGAAGAAACAAATATATTTAATTCAGAATATTCTTCTTGTATTTTACGACACACTCTATCTAATGCGTGAACAACACATGTTATATGAGACATCTTCGGGAAAAAAATCTTTAAATTGGTACCAACTGTCCTCATATATGATGCGGCGTCTGTGACTAAAAGTAACACTTTATTATATTGTATACCTTGAGGCCAAAGTATTTGACAAGCATTTAAAAATGCAGTTTGAATTGTGTTATGTTTAGTGTCTTCAATGAACTCGACATCAATTATCATTGGTTTACTATACTCGCCATTTAATATACCAACCATTATATTAAACACTTTTCGATCGCAACTATCTTTTGTTTCATCTATTATAAAATATACATAATTTTCGGCAACAATTTTTCTGATATTATCAATAGCTTTTAGATATAATGGCTTTTCATATCGTTTAAGTGTTGTCTGATTTGGTACCACTTTTAAAACAAATTCTTCAATGAATCCTTTTAATGCCGGAGACATTACTTTATGAAAAGGTATGTTTGATTTAATGAGTGTTTCAGTCAATCGCATTGTAAAATAGTCTTCAGTATCTTTTTTCTGATTTAACGTTTTAATTGATTCTGATAGCAATTGTTGTCTTTTTTGATCACCTTTTGCTTTAATCTCTCGGTGTTTAAGATGTGATGCACTCGACATGTGTTCATTGATACGGCATTTGTATTTACTTTCGGAAATAATTATTTGTTTCACACAAACCATACAAAATACACATTCATTTTCAACTTTTAATTCATTATTTGATTTTAAAAATAAATTTAATTTAGATTTTAAACTACTCTTTGTTTTACCCATTGTTTACTAAAAATACAAATATTTCATATTATACTTAAATATAATATTTTACAAAATTACAGTTTTTTATATCAAATAATAATTACAATATTTTTTGTGATTTTTATGTACGCTTGCGTCACTTTCATTGCTTTTTAAGTTAATATAGTTTTGAATTTGTTGCTAATGTTGTATTGACTATATATTTAGTTTTTGTTAATCAATATTTAGCGAATTTCGGGAAAAAACACACTTAAATACTGTTTTTCGGGGTTTTTCGGGATTTTCTCAAAAAACAACAAAAATCGGGAAAATCGGGAAAAACAATAGACGTTAATTTCATTTAAAATGTTGCCATATTTCTATAAATATTAAATTCCCGACGATTTAATGAATATTAAATTTTCGGGAATTCCCAAAGAAACATAACTCTAGTTATAACTACAGTATGATCACAACATTTAATAAAAAAATATTTTAATTAACATTTACCATTAAATAATAATAATAATAATGTATTATTATTATTATTAAATTTTTGTAATTTTTTAAATGGTCAGAACTAATACAATTATCGTTGAATTATACTTCAATTATGTTATTTAACTATTTAGTTTACTATCGAAAACTGTGACATAAAAGTATAGTAATGTTTTATTTTATCCTCAAATACTAGAATTGTAAATAAGTTTTTTATTTAAAAAATGCCCGTATTTTCAACGTTAAAGGATTACATAAATATAACGGTTAAAATACATATATAAAAATCATTTGCTTTACAGAAAAAACTATTTTTTTGCATTTTGTTATCATTTTTAATATGTGACAACTAGTGATAAAAAGCCTAATTAGTTTATATTACTGTCTAATTAGTCTAATTATGACTTTGATATATTCAATTAAATCTTGGTTTAATTGATAGTAATATAAATCCGATTTCATGTTTGACATACGAGTTAGTCTGTTTTAAGTCATCATGGTAATTTTTATATTATTTATTAGCTAGCACATTCATGCTCAATAATTTAACTCATTCAATATAAACCAATCAAAGCATAATTTACTATTTAATGTTTAAAAAATATTTATTGCCATTAAAAATAAAATAAATGTAAAATATTAATTTTGTTTAGTATTAATATAAAATCTAAAACGGAGTGACTATTATATAAGATTATATAAATACTTATATATAGTATATACAATGTTTTACAAAAAAATATTAACTACAAATCTAAATTTTATTCTAAGTATAATTGATTATAAAAATAATATAAATTATATTATATTATTCGCACTTAAAATACTGTATAGTTCTGTGTATTAATATTAGAATATTTTGACCAATTTTATATTATTTTAATATTTAACGGTTTACTAAAATAATGCATTTTAAATCTACAATTTTAGATTTTAAAAAACTTATAATAACAAAATCATGTTTCATTTACAATTGCTCTATGAGTTAAATGAAATATAACTTTGATGTAACTTTTGTAGTTTACCATATAATATATTTTTTATGTTTGTAATAAATAATTAGTGTTAATTTAGAGTTTTAAAACTTGATTAATTTAATTAAATATTCTAATAGTTTTACTACTTTTTCTACACAATTGTTATGTCAAAAATGTCAGACAATTAATTACAAAAATGTGTTAAACACGAGCTGTGACTTCAATTATTTTATATCTGCTATATATTTTATGTTTAGTTTTATTTTTAAATATACTTTTTATGTACCGGTAATGGATTTTAAATATAATTTTAAAATGTAATTAAATGAAAGATTATTTTAAAATATTTTACATTAAAAATACAATTATTTATATGAATAAACTTACATTTCATAAGAAGCACTCAATTATTAAAAAGTATTAAAAGCAAAAAAATCTAATATAGTTTACAATAGTATAGTACTGTATAAAGTATTGTTAGATAAATATTGTATTGAACTGTCAGTTAAATACTTGCAACTTATAATACTGTAGAGTATTATATTATATTTTTAATACTTCAATGATAATTGAAATATATTGTATATGTCTTGAATGGTTTTATTTGTGTCAACGATTGGTCCATACTTTGGGTTTATAATTGTCACTTAAATTCTATATATTCTTCTTAAATATATCATCAAAATTGTACATTTCGTCAAAAATTTAAAAAAGTGCTGAAAATTGTTTTTATATCACACCTATTGTACATAATTAAACACATATACAATACTTTATAATTTATAATATAACAAATTATAAATTAGTAGGAAATTTAACTAAATGAAATTTAAATTTATTTTTAATTAAATTTACTAATTAAATTAATGAAATTAAGATTAAAATGTTGCTAAATCAATAAATTTTTAGTGAAACACTCAAAATTTAAATTTATAATTTTTTAAGAAATAAAATATAAAAATTTGATTTTCCAATAAAATATTAGATAATTTATTTAAAATTTATTTGACAAATTATTAATATATTTGTTAATTTATTAAGATTTACTTTATTGTTTTTCATTGATTTATTAATAGTTGTTTATTTATGTAAATTACATTTTTAACCAATTCATATGTTTTACACTTTATTCCCAATTCTTAATACACTTTAAACATTTAAACAATAATCAAACAATCGCTTTTGAAATCGTTTTTGAAATAATATATTAAAATATGAAAACAGCGGGTTTTAAGTAAAATTAGTTATATTATATGTTTGTAAAATTAAAGAATTTAGATATAAACTATTATTTTTAGAAAAAATATTAAATTTTTGACACAAACTATAGTTAACTTTTATAAACACTATTTTAGTAATAATATGATGACATTTGTCTACAAACATAGCTCTGGAATCAAATTTGGATACAATGGGTGACAGTTTGGGTGATGTCTATCCAACTCAACATCGTTTGTCAACTGCTGAAGAATTTTATGAATCTAAACATATGTCAAATATAGTCAGTCTATCAAATGAAGAAGTTTATGATACAAGACGTATCTTTGGTGGTGACGACTCCTATGAGATCAGACGATCAGAAAGAATTGAAAGACCTGATAGATGTGAGAGATCTTCGGCAGACAATCGATGGAATAATCGACCCATAGTTGAAATCTCATCGGAAACCACTGAAAATACCAATCGACAGATCGCACCCATCATTACGCACGAGAAAAGCTCTGCACCTCATAGTAGGTCGCGATCTAATGCCTCGTCATCAGGATCTTCACCATCATATCTATTGGCAGTTAAAACACAACTTCACGCATATTCAGGTATTTTTGTTTATATATATAATTGTTTTGTCACGAATTAAAGTTAATACATATAAAATGCAATGTTTTGTATTTATTTTAATGACATATTTTATATTACAATTAAAATATTTCATATTATTGATATATCATAAAATATATTATCATTGAACCTTATTTATATATATATATATATATATATATAAATATATATATCATAATTAAAAGTATGTAATTATTAAATATAAGTAAAAAACCTGTTATTGTAATATTAAAATAAAATAGATTATTAACATAAAAATACAGTACAATATAAACATTGCATTTTCAAATAAATATTTGTTGTCAATTACATTTAAATTTTAACTATATTTTTATCTGACAAATACAATATAATTTAGGTATTGGACTGTTTTTAATTAGATGTAAATGTTTGCTATTATTAATATAGTATAGAATATTCTATAGTTTTGCACTTATTTAGTGTGCCATATTTAGTTTAAATGTGTATTCATATTTTATATGTACCGTATATAATGTTATAATATATGTCATAATTATTAAACTTTCTGGTAATTATGTTAATTATTTCATGATAAATTACTTTTTTTTAAATATAACATACTATACAAACACGTAGTTGTTGTATAAATTGGCCCCATATACTGTAAGCTTTAAGCAGTTAATCATATAAAAAGTATATTATAGTTAGTGGTTTATAATTTAGTTTATACATTACCATCAAGTACAGTAGTATAGTACTATCATAAGAGCTATTATTTTAATATAAAAAACATAATGATATAAACATTATATTGAATATTATACAGTAGTAGTAAACTAACAAATGTTTAGTAATATAATACTGTATTTATAATTCTATAGAAAATCTAAAATATTATTTATAAATATGATGTAAAAGTATGATATGTCTAACTTATATATTAGTTTGTATTACAGTATATGTATCAATAATGTACTACAATTTCATTCATTTAAATAGATAAGCAAAAGTTTAACTTTTTTAAATAGGCGTTTCTCACTAATTATAAATATTATTTAGACAATTAATGAATAGTTAATTTATGCAAATATTTTTTATCATATACTGTATAATACAATGTCATAATTTATAGTTAGTTTCTATGATTATTATCGGTATTTATTATTACACTTTGTGTTAAGTTAGACTCTAAGGAGTAAGTGAATAATTTGTTACATCATTACAAAAATATAATTTATAAGTATATCTGGAAAATAAAAGTATTTAAATAAAATATAGTCTATAAATATAATTTTATATTATATAAAGTTATTATTTGTTATTTATTTAATATTTAACTTAATTTTTATATCATTATAATTATATGGTAATAGTAAATTTGGTAAAAATGATTTTAATAATTTAACAATTTTATAATCGACTGTAATAAGTTTGTGATTATTTTTTATAAACATTCAAAAATTAATAATTTTTCTTAATTTGTATATTTTTGTAAATATATTTATAAACAAACAATATGTATGTTGAATAAGATGTTTTATTTAATGCTAAGTACTGTATATCACATATTGTTTAATATACGTGACTTTTCTGCAAATTTAAGTATATTATATTACTCGATAATAGTTGAAAATTATACTATATATTATATACGTACAAACGTTACATACGTTACAACAAATGCTGTAATCAATTTTAATGATATTGTCTAAAAATATTGATAATTTATGGTAAAATATTATAAGTAAAATACAATACATTTTACAATATTTATCATGATAATATATATCATACAATTTATATTATTTGGCAATATTTTGTTATTAAATCTTCAAACCCATTGTCAAAAATGTTATAAAAACAAACGATAATATATTATTATTTGTCTAATAATTTATCTCAAATGAAAATCTTGTCCACAGGAAGTAATATAACAGCAATTTATATATATATTTATTTATTTATCTCACAAAATATAACATCGCTTTTTTACCGGTTTTGCAAACAAATGCACAGAATATTTCGTTTTGAGACAATTGAAGAAATTCATGGGATTAGTGAATACGAAAGTCATTTCTGTTATATGATATATATATAAGATATTGTATAATATATTTATAAATTATTAAGACGTTTAGAGGTTTTTAGTTTTTTATTTACCAATTATTTATTACTAAACATAGATTAAAAGTTTTTTTTTAAATATAAAATGTTATATTAGGTTACAATAATATTAATAGTCATAACCAACTATTAAATTCTATTTAATATATAGTTGTTAATATTTTAGCATTTTTATTTAATTTTTAATAAATTTGAAATAATAAACATTAACGAATAACATGAATAAATTAATTATAAATTTTTGAAATTCATAACATTTGAATCATTTTAATTTTATAAAATAAATAAATGAATTATAATATGCATTTTTAATTATATGTTAAACTTTAAAAGTCAATTAACTATTTATTATACTTAATTACTCAAAATATTATTACAAGTTGTTAATTGTTTTTAAGTTAAATAGCTTGTAATCTATTGTATTGTCTTTATGCAGTTTTTATAAATAATTATATTTATATTCACTAATAATATAATTTACGGAAATCTCAACTATATATACTTTAATGACTAAGACATTGCATGTAATTTTTACATTAAACATAACAAAATAATTGACACGAATTTACATTCAACCAATAGCTCAACTATCAACAAACATAAAATTATTTATTATTAAATACACAATAAAACAATCGGATATAAATTGTATTCACAAATAGGTTAATATGAAATAAGATTTATGAATAATAGTAATATATATACTGTAGATACAATATGCCATGCATTGGGAATGATATAATATATTATATTATACAGTATATTATGTATTAATAGTTATTATATACAGTATAATATATACTGTATACTATACAATGTCTGTATATCTGTAATAAATATACATTTTTTATTTGTATATTGCATATACTATATACTGTAGTATAAAATATATACAAAATAAGTAAAAAAAAATTAGACTATTTGATTTACTTATTTTGCAAACAGTTTAAAATATAACTTCTAATATAATATATTAACGATTTAAATTGATTTAAACATAAAATTTATAGATAATTTATTAATATATTAAATTAAATTTTTTTCTTACAAAATTTTTTGAATAAAATATAGTAAAGTGAATAATAGTTAAATATTGTATTATAAGTACACTAACGTTGTTATATTATATGCAGTACTTTAATACATCTAATTTAATATACTTTGGTTTCAAAATATTTTATTTACTTTGATATTTTGTAAAATTAAATTTACATATAAGATTTTATTCATAAAATATTATTCATGTTATATTTATTTTATTATAATATTTACGATATAAAATTTTTCAGACTTTCAAATTTAAGTTAATTGAGAGTTAAGGCATTGATGTCTAAGCTGTGTAACAAATAATTATAATTTAATGAATGGAGACATCAGATGAAACATATGTGTAACCAATTAAGGTGTTTGTTGTCAACTAATTGGCTCTTTTTCCTGATAACAGCCCCACATAGTCCTCAACGTAAGAAACTGTCTCTACGTATGAAAAGTTTATCACTGGACAGTCCAGAGTCGACAGAGCATGTCCTCAGTTGTCGCAAACAAGTGTCGCACCAAATGCCTCAATACAACAACACTTACAACAATCAATGTATGCCAACGTTTGTCATATTTTATCATTTATTTTAAATAACATTTAATCAACAAATTCTAAAATAACTCATATCTGATTAGTTTTTTTATATGACAAACAATATTTTATAATATATTTATCTATATATTCATTATATATATTATTTTTTATATACAATGTATGTAAATAATCTTATATACAGTATTTAAACTAATGTTATATTTAAAATAAAAATCAATATTAAATGTATTGTATAATCTACAATATAATTTGATTAAAAATTCAAATCACACTGATATCTCTCACAACTATATTTTATAGGTATAATCAGAAATATATAATATATCCTATTTTATTATAGAATAATTATGTGAAGAATTTATTTATTTATAATATATATTATACCAAAAAGTATTATTTATATTAATTTTATGATAAACTAATAGTGATACTGATAAAAATGATAAAAAAATATGCATTTTGCATGATTATTTTAAATATTTAATTGAATGCAATTGAGGAATGAGTTTTGTTTCAAATATAATAAATTTATAATAAGTAGAGTGCAATGTTTGCTTTATGTCTGTATATTAGATATTATGTAGTTTTATAAATGATTCTTATTTTTAGAGCATTAGTTAATCTTTTTCAATATATATCAATATATACTGTTTTATAAAAATATAATACCATAGAGAACATACACTAATATTAAGTTGTTTTTGTCTAAATTAATATCATTTGTCTATTTTATATAGTTTTATAAAAGATATTAAACAATAGAGAGATTAATTATAAATCAAACAATTTTCTAAATAATCAATTAAATATTTTGGAATTCATTCAATTATAAATTAGTTGTATAAAAACTATAGTTTAGTGGTTTAACAGAAATTTTTTTTAAATTTCAACAATCATTTTTTATTTTAATAATATCTGAATTCATTAAATGCTATTATTATTAATTAAATAATTTTTTAAGTAATCGAAGTGAATAAATTGGAAATATTAAAACAAATTTAAATTATATTAATAGTATTCATCTATAATATTCTATATTAAAAATTGACAAATGTTAATTATAATTATATTAAATTAGTGTTTAAATAAAAATTCTAGTGATTTATATACACATAAATCATTATATTTTATTGTCAATAGTTTAATATAATTTAAAGCTATATTAATCTAAATAATTAAAATTTGAAAATATTTAGTCAAATGAAATGTTTGATCCAAAGCCCCACAGAGTCCAATACAATGCAACCGGCGATTCCTGTTTGGCAAACAAAACCATATGTGTTCTGTTGATTTGCCCGACAATAATGAAAAGTCAAGTGCTTCTCCATCTCCATGTCCTTCACCGGTATATATGATTTGTTTATATATATTCAATCAAATTATGTTTCATTTATTTCCTAATGTTGATATCTAAATAAATTATTTCATATTAAATTATATCAATAATTAGAAACCTCAAAGACTTTTGCCAACAAATATATTTGTCGTTCTCTATAACTTCCGGAGTCGACAACAGGACGAATTGGATCTCAAGTGAGACCTATTTATCATCAATTATCACTTATTTTAACATTTTTATAGATATAATATTATTTACTAACAAACAGTGATTTATATATATTTAACATAAAAATTATGAAGTATTCAATATATGCTTAATAGTAGTACACTCTTAAAGTGTATGTCAAAGTAATACCAGAATTTAGGTCATCTCTTTGTTTGTCTTTCTGAAGCATTATTGACATTTACATACCTTTATAAATATTTTATATTTTATAAATTATTAACGTTTTCACTCATTCATAATATACTAATCATAATTTATTAATAATTAATAATAATTAAATGAATTAATATATTAAAAATAATAAATATAATATTCTTATATATTTTGGAAATAAAAATGCTTTTTAAATACCTTTAAGGGCTGGTTATACAGTAACGGTAGTGGACACGACTGACCCGGATTGGTGGCAGGGAAAGTGTTTGGGCAGAAAAGGTTACTTTCCATCCAATTATGTGACCAAATTATTTCCCGGAGAGAAACCACTTCAGGTTTGCCATACAATTCAAGTTAATGACGGAGAGATTGGTATCAAACTAATGCGCGAACAGGTATTTCATACATAATATTCCCATATATTTGTTTTATAGCTACAAATTTAAAATTTATTATTAATTAAATATATTTTATTAATTTGTATAGATTGTCATACAGGTGGTCGAGGAAGTGGACGGCATTATAATGATTAGGACAGGTATTAATGACAAAATAGTTCCCTGTCCTATTAAATATTTACAGGATATATCTTATATCAATTAATTGCCTGAAACGCCTTTTTATAAATTAAAACGCCTTATATTTTTAGCACATTTACATAAAAATCATATATTGTTAAAATAATAATATTAATAATTATAATATAAATCTGTTATAAATAATTACACCAAAGTAAATAAATATACTTTTGTTATAAAAATATATTAAGAGCTTTGAAGTCAAATAAAATAGAAATTACAATATATTATACAAATTATAATCGTTTTACTAAATAATTTCATCGAATATATAAATTAAATTAGTTAACATTTTTGTATATTTATTAACCAATTGTTGATATTTTGCATGTTTCTAATGTTTATTATAAACAATAATAACATATATTTTAAAAACTTACATAAAAATGTAATAATATTATAATTTACAATATTATGTTAATGATTTTATTATATTTCATTATATATAAATTATGATAAAAATACAGTATATATATGTCTAGGTTTATCTGTAGTTATTTTTATAAGTGTTAATAATTATAATTAAATTATTTTAGACTTAAAAATTTAATGTGAAATAATTATAATTATTCATAATTATTAATATGTTAATTATTTATTTCGTCAATTATAAATTAATTATTAATTAGATATGTAAAATATATTATTTTAACAAATAAATAATTGTATATAATTTCATTATTTGACCAAATCAAATACAGTTTTATTATAATAATAGTAACAAATATTATTACATCTAATATTAATGCAATAATATAATATTACTAAATGAGTATCTTATATGAAATCATTGAATCATTGGTTTAATACATTTATACAGCATATGAACAAACAAACAAAAAATAACTTTTTCTTCAAACTAATGTCGAAATTTTGTGGACACATTGTTACTATAAAAAAGTGTCTACAAATAAATAATTCATTAAATGTATCATTATATCTATTATCAAAATCAACATAAGAGTTCATTTTTATGTCAATTACATTCAATACCCGACAAAATGTTTATATATTTGACAGAATTTGCACAAAAAATTCACTATAGAATTGCTGAATACAATAAGTATATAAATATGAATATAATGGCAAACATTTATCAATGATTTCTTTTCTTTCATTTTTCTCTTTTCAATCGTTTTTTCAAATTTTTTTATTCAGAGTTAACATAAATTTTTGTTTTGTGTAAATTAAATACTACAGTATGTAGTTTACTAAAAAATACTAAAAGTAAAACATTTTAAGATTTTTATGAAGCTTTTTATTTGCCCTATATTTAACTTAAATTATCAAAACTTTAATGTATAAGACATTTCAAATGATATATATTATAAAATAAATAAAAATAATTGTTATTTTAGTGTATTGAAAGTTTATTGCAATACAAATCAAGACAAAAAAATAAAACAAATGATTTTTATAATAACCATTAATACTATAAATAATATCAACAAATGTCAGCAAAGAAATTGTCATTTTCTGTAACAAAAAGCACGACATTTCATATTTTATTACTTGTCTTATAATATGAGATCCACTTAACAGCGGTTGTGTCACACTTTAAATGGTTTCTCTTTTATTATAATTAATACATTATATAAAAATTCTTATTAAACGCATTGATATATAGATATAACATAATGTATTGCAATACACTGTTTGTCAAATCAAGACATCAATGACCCCAAAACAGAGAATCAAATTTTAATTAATAAAATAATACGTAAGTTATATACGTTTTATATTATTATCACATATTATGAATATTATTTCGTTTATAAGCAAATTTTTATATAATATTTATATATTTTAATACTTTAGTATCGATAGAAATACTAATAATTTTCATTAACATTTGACACAAATAATAATATAAAAATGGTTGAGATCTAAAAAGGTCAAAAGTTAAACATTATTTTTATATATTTTGCTTTTTATTTTGAACTAAACAAATGTAGTATATCTTAGTTAATTTAAAGATAAGTACTTTGGTTTAAAAATATAAAGGTTAAAGGTCAATGTAAAAGGTACGTGATTTTATAATAATTGAATATAAAATAGTTTTATAATATAGTCTTAATACAGTATTTGTTTTATGTATTACTGTATAATAATTTTTATTTATAATTAATTATTTAAATAAATATAATATGTTATTACTGTAAATATTTTATAAGTTAGTTAATTTTACTAAAACTTTTAATAATTTGCTTTAAAACTGCATTTCAAATTATACTAAAATAAAATTACAATTATAAATTACAAAATAATTTTTCAGTTATTTAACATATTTAATAATCATAATATTTAAAATAATTGAGATTTACTTAATTAATTAATTAATTATTTTTGAATATCTGTTGTAGTCTAATAAATGAAGTCAATAATATGATAGTTATAATAATTTTCAACTTATTTTAAACCCCTTAAGCAATTCACTTATTATATTAATTTGTATCTAAAATTAAAAATTAATAATGATATATTTTAATTTATTAAATAATAATAATAATATAATAACATGCAATATTTTGTATTAAAAATAATTAGTTGAAATTACTAGACAGCATTGCCAAAACAAACTTTTAAAAAGTGTATCGAATTTATGCCATTGTTATTACTAGTGTCTTGATTTCCAACTAAAAAATTATTTTGTCGGTTCAATACATATACAACTATTTAATACAGTTTAAATAACTAATAATCAATACTTTAGTTATGACATTGTTATGAAATAGATTATAATTAAAGTACAGTTAGTTTTCTAAAATGAGAAAATTCTAAAATAATAGATAAATTTCTGTCAATGGGATCCCTTTTGTTAATTTTATTGTCTCGAAGTTTATTATTTAGTAATAAAATATTATAATTACAAATAATAACTAAACATTAATATTAGTATTTTAATTAATATTCAAAGTAAAATTAGTCCATTTAACTAAAACTCCAATTATGACTAAAATTTTACAAAAACTATAATTATAATAAGATAATTATATTAATTTTATATATAGGGATCCAATTTGTAGTGCTTATAGTAATGTAGTGTACATCAGGCTTTCTTATCGTAGGAGAGTTAATCACTAATGTAAACAAAAGTATTGAAACAAATAAATTCATGTCTTATCACAAGTAGGTATACTTACCTTTACATTAGTATGAGTTATATATCATGTGATTATATTTTAGTTTAAAACAACATTTTTGTTATAAATATTGAAATAATTATTTATATTATATTGAATATATATCAGTTGTGAAGTAAATATTTATATATAATAATTAAATTCAATAATTAAAATTGTTTTAATTAATAGTTTAAAACAAATTAGTGATAAATTTTGTATATTATGTGAACAAATCAATTGTGAATATAATATTTATATATAATAATAGTATTTATTAATTAAAATTGTGTTTTAATTAATAGTTTAAAACAAATTAGTGATAAATTTCGTATATTATGTGAACAAATCAATTGTAAATATAATATTTATATATAATAATAGTATTTATTAATTAAAGTTGTGTTTTAATTAATAGTTTAAACCAAATTAGTGATAAATTTTGTATAATATTTGAATAAATCAATTGTGAATTAAATATATATATAATAATTGTATTTATTAAAGTTGTGTTTAAATAATAGTTTAAAACAAATTAATGATAAATTTTGTATAATATGTGAACAAATCAATTGTGAAGTAAATATTACAACAAATAATAGCTATTAATTAAAAATTATTGATTACAACTAATTTTAATAATAGTAATATTGTTTTATTAATAATAAAATGAATAGCAATAGTGAATTTTTGAGATTTTTAAATAATAAGTCAACAAAATATGTCTCAAAATTCAGTTTTGATTGAAAAAATGGTTAAAATAACTAACAATGATATCAACTTTTCCATACATAATGGCAAACAATTTTGTAATTCATGTGAAATGTATTTTAATAACTTTGATTTACAACACGGCGAAAGCAATATAAATAAACACAAATCAACGCAAAAACATTTAAAAAATTGTGACTCAAATACAAATAAGCGTAAATCAACTGAAAATTTAAATACAGTTATTAACGTCAAAGACGAAAATACATTTAGAATGCGATTTGTTTTGGCTTTTTTGTCGGCAAATATTGCAATTAATAAATTAGACAACAATGAATTGCGCTCATTTTTAACGGACTATACAAATCATAACATTTCCAGCAAATCAGTATTGTATAAATGTGTTGACGAAGTCTACAAAAACACTACAAACAAAATAAAAGAAATTTTCAAAAATAATAAATTTTATGTTATGTTAGATGAAAATCAGCAATGATTTTAGCAATGCAAAAAGCAAAGTCAAAATTTAAAAATCTACTTCATGTCACATGCTTAGCACATGCTCTTCATCGAGTTTGTGATAAAATACGATTAGATAATCATTTAGTTGACAATTTTATGAATAAAATGAACACTTATTTTAAAAATTCATATAAAAATAAACAGCATTTTATTGATAATTGTAATAATAAATTACCTGAAAGACCCATACCTACAAGGTGGGGGACATTTATTAATTGTTGTTAATATTATACAACTAATTTTGACAAAATTAAATCATATATATTAAAATTAGACAACAACAAAAATAATAAATAATGAATTAAAAGACTTTGTTTTAAATGAAAATTTATTAAAACAATTTAATGAATGCTCTAAATATATATATTTGGTGGATAAAATTAAATATTTGGAACAAAGTGGATTAAAATTTGATCAACAAATTAAAGTAATAGATGACATAGAATTAAAACTTAAAAATAATATTACAGATTATGATAAATTACAAGAATCACTCAAGAAAAACCCATCAATAAAAGATTTTCGAAAACCTAAATCAAGTATTTTGTCTCAAGATTATCAATATGCACCGTTAACTACAGTTGACATTGAAAGATCATTTTCAATGTTTAAAAACATTGTTACAAAAAATAGATTAAAGTTGACTAAAGAACACATTCAACAATATTGT